TTTTTTTTTGAGACCGGTTCACTCTGTCGCCCAGGCTGGAGTGCAGTGGTGTGATCTCACCTCACTGCAACCTCCGCCTCCCAGGTTCAGGCGATTCTCTTGCTTCAGCCTCCCTAGTAGCTGGGCTTACAGATGCGCGCCACCACACCTGGCTAATTTTTTGTACTTTTAGTAGAAACGAGGTTGGCCGGGCAGGGTGGCTCACGCCTGTAATCCCAGGGCTTTGGGAGGCCGAGGCGGGTGGATCACGAGGTCAGGAGATCGAGACCATCCTGGCTAACACGGTGAAACCCCGTCTCTACTAAAAACTCAAAAAACTACCCGGGCGAGGTGGCGGGCGCCTGTAGTCCCAGCTTCTCGGGAGGCTGTGGCAGGAGAATGGCGTGAACCCGGAAGGTGGAGCTTGCAGTGAGCCGAGATTGCACCACTGCACTCCAGCCTGGGCCACAGAGTGAGACTCCGTCTCAACAAAAAAAAAAAAAAAGAAAAAAAAGAAACGAGGTTTCATCATGTTAGCCAGGCTGGTCTCGAACTCCTAACCTCAGGTGATCCACCTGCCTTGGCCTCCCAGAGTGCTGGGATTACAGGCATGAGCCACTGTGCCTGGCCCCCTTAATTTTTTTTTTTTTTTTTGGAGACAGGGTCTCGCTTTGTCACCCAGGGCTGAAATATGGTGGCACGATCTTGGCTACACCTCCTGGGTTCAAGCGATTCTCCTGCCTCAGCCTCCCAAGTAGTGGGGATTACAGGCACCTGCCAACACGCCTGGGTAATTTGTTATGTTTTTAGTAGAGATGCGGTTTCGCCATGTTGGCCAGGCTGGTCTCAAATTCCTGACCCCAAGTGATCTGCCCAGGCCTCCCAAAGTGCTAGGATTACAAGCATGAGCCACCGTGCCTGGCCTCTTCCCTTAATTTACCAGCGTGCCTCAGAGCTGGTTCCCTGGCATCCTTCGGGGCAGTCAGCTTCTGTTTGTAGGAAGAACAACAGATCTCACCATATTTAACAGCTCTGTTCCTCGAGGGATCCTTCCTAGGGCTCAGTTGTTCCATCCTTGGCGGGGACAGGTGAGGGTCTTCCAGGCTAACTCCCGGCTCCTTCCGACATGACGGCCACACTCTGTGATGTGCAACTTGCCATCTGGAGTGACGAGATCCCCGGACTGTTCCCTATGGCTGCCATAACAAGTTACTACAAATTGAGTGGCTTAAAACAACAGAAATTACACCAAAAAATGTTAAAACTAGTTAATAGATTCTGTAAAGTTGCAGCATACAAAATCAACATACAAAAATCAGTAGTGTTTCTATACAGTAACAACAATCCGAGAAATCAAGAAAACAGTCACAGTTACAACAGCTACAAAAACTTCAAACATTTAGAAATAAATTTAACCGGCCAGGTGCGGTGACTCACACCTGTAATCCCAGCACTTTGGGAGGCTGAGGTGGGCGGGTCACCCTGTCCCACCAAGGAAAACAATGAGAGCGTTTCCTGTAAATGATAAAATTGAACTTTCGAGCAAACATCAGGATTTAGGTAAACCTGTGTCCACCACTGTGAACTTTGAAGTTTTTTTTTTTTTTGAGATGGAGTCTTACTCTGTCACCAGGCTGGAGTGCAGTGGCGTGATCTCAGCTCACTGCAACCTCCACCTCCCAGATTCAAGAGATTCTCCTGCCTCAGCCTCCTGAGTAGCTGGGACTACAGGCACGTGACACCATGCCCAGCTAATTTTTGTATTTTTAGTAGAAACGGGGTTTCTTCATGTTGGCCAGGCCTAGTCTCAAACTCCTGACCTCAGGTGATCCACCCTTACAGGCGTGAGCCACCATACCTGGCATAACACTTAAAAATTTTGGCCAGGCGCGGTGGCTCACGCCTGTAATCCCAGCACTTTGGGAGGCCGAGGCAGGTGGATCACGAGCTCAGGAGTTCGAGACCAGCCTGGCCAACATGATGAAACCCCGTCTCTACTAAAAATACAAAAATTAGCCGGGCGTGGTGGCGGGTGCCTGTAATTCCAGCCACTCAGGAGGCTGAGGCAGAAGAACTGCTTGAACCTGGGAGGTGGAGGTTGCAGTGAGCTGAGATCACGATCCTGCACTCCAGCCTGGGTGACAGAGTGAGACTCTGTCTCAAAAAAAAAAAAAGACAAAACACAGTGTGGCACTGGCTTAAAGACAGACACAGAGACCAATGGGGTTAAATAGAGAGCCCAGAAATAAACCCTTCAATATATGGTCAAATGGTTTTCAACAAGGGTGCCAGAATCATTCAACGGTAGACAGAATGACCTTTTCAACAAATGAGGCCAGGAGCAGTGGCTCACGCCTGTAATCCCAGCACTTTGGCAGGGCAAGGCGGGCAGGTCACCTGAGGTCAGGAGTTTAAGACTAGCCTGGCCAACGTGGTGAAATCCTGTCTTGACTGAAAATACAAAAATTAGCTGGGCATGGTGGTACATGCCTGTAACTCCAGCTACTGGGGAGGCTGAGGCAGGAGAGTCATCTGAGCCCAGGAGGCAGAGGTTGCAGTGAGCCAAGATCTCGCCACTGCACTCAAGTTTGGACAACAGAGCCAGACTCCATCTCAAAAAACAAACAAACAAACAAACACAAATGGTTCTGGACAAATAGAATAGTCATACTCAGAAAAACAAAGTTGGGCCAGGTACAGTGGCTCACGCCTGTAATCCCAGCACTTTGGGAGGCCGAGGCAGGTGGATCACCTGAGGTCAGGAGTTTGAGACCATCCTGGCTAACACAGTGAAACCCCGTCTCTACTAAAAATACAAAAACTAGCTGGGCATGGTGGCGGGCACCTGTAATCCCAGCTACTCCTGAGGCTGAGGCAGGAGAATCACTTGAACCTGGGAGGCGGAGGTTGCAGTGAGGTGAGATCGCGCCACTGCACTCCAGCCTGGGCGACA